GATTAAAAAAAAAAAAGAACAAACTATATAGAAGAGATTTCACTTACCTGCTGGAAACTGCTGGACATACTCAAGCCCTGCCTTGCACCCTAAATTCAAAACAACATACATTTTGGATATTAAAACCAGTGCTGCAAATGACACTGCATACAATAATATTCCCAACCCCACTGTAAACCATTGGGAGTTGAAATACATAGCAGACACAGAAGCTAGGTTGCCATTCTTTTTCTCACCACCAACCAGTAAGACTATGAGGTGTTTTTTGTTTTGTTTTTTTAAATCAGATGCAGTTTGCTCTTGGTGATGCCATTGCAGGTTCAATGCATTTCTATGAGAAATATAGTGAGGAGTTGGCTTTTACACTAAATTTTAGGGTGGTAGATAGCAGAATCATCAAGGTTCATAACCTGCTCCATCATAATTCAACCCATTTTTATTTACCTGATGGAAGATGAGCCAAAATGAAGGAAAAAACAAAGACAAAATAAAACATCTTCCTGCCTGGGGCCATCGCTGAAGGAAGTCTCTTCAGAACAGAGAGTTTTATTGATTGATTTATTTTGAGTGGGTATAGCATTTCATTTATATTTGAAAGTAAAGACATAGGCTCGCGGTCAGTGAGGTGAATCAATAAAGAAAGCACATTGATATGCCCCATTTCCCTGGATCAAAGGCTGATGTCATGGATAGTAACCCTTGGTCCCTTCAGCCTTATATTTTGGAGAGTCTGACTGGTACAGTACAGAGAATACTAGGCCAGGGATCAGAAGACCAGGAATCAAGTCTTGATTCCTCCATACTGATTCGAGGAGTCAGAATCATTCACGTCATCTCTAGCTGCCTCAGTTTTCACATCTATCAAATAAGGACCCCATCATACATTTGTCCTGCTTCTTGTGGTTGTAATCTGACTGAGAAGCAAAATAATTTTGACCACACAGAGAATTCAGAAATCCTAGTAAGTACTCTCGAAGCACTCAATCATGTTGACTACCACTTTACTTCCACCACTTGTCTGCCAGTTGGAAGTATTGTGCTGGCTTGGGTGTTGTTGTGATGCTGGGAGCCATGTCAAACACCAGCAGAACCATCTAAAATGAGCAGGTTTCAGCAGAGTGTCCAGACTAAGAACAGCCTATGCAGAAGGGATAGTTATTCATTTCAGAGGAATTATTCTTAGGTGTCATCAAGTCAGTTCCGACCCATAGCAACCCTACGCACAGCAGAAGGAGATACTCCTTGGTCCTGTGCCAGCCTCACAGCCTATTGCTGCAGTCACGGTGTCAATCCAGCTCAGTGAGGGCACTTCCTCTTTTTCTCTGCCCCTCTACTTTACCAAGCGTGATGTACTTTTCCAGGGACCGCTCTCTCCTGACAGCATGTCCACAGTATGTGGGACGAAGTCTTGTTATACTTGTCTCTTAGGAACATGCCGACTCTACTTCTTCCATGACAGATTTGTCCTTTTGGCAGGCCATGAGACGTTCAATGTTCTTCACTAGCACTACAATTCAAATGCATTGATTGTTCTTTGGTCTTCTTTATTCAATGTCCAACTTTCAGATGCATAGGAGGCAATTCAAAATTCCTTGACTTGAGTCAGGCATACCTTAGTTTTCAAAGTAACTGATCTCCATGCCTTTCAACACTCTAGAGCAGGGGTCCTCAAACTTTTTAAACAGGGGGCCAGTTCACTGTCTCTCAGACCATTGGAGGACCGGACTATAGTTAAAAAAAAACCCCAACACCTATGAACAAATTCCTACGCACAGTGCACATATCTTATTTTGAAGTAAAAAAACAAAACGGGCAAAAACACCCGGCGGGCCGGATAAATGTCCTCAGCGGGCCACATGTAGCCCGTGGGACCCCTGCTCTAGAGAGGTCTTGTGGAGCACATTCACCTAATGAAATGTGTCTTTTGAGTGTTTATTATGAATTCAAATAAGACATAGTAGACTTCAGCTTTTCCATTTTTCATGATGTTACTTATCGGTCCAGTTGTGAGGATTTTGTTCTTCTTCACAGTGAGTCATAATCCATGTTGAAGGCTGTAACCCTTGACCATCTTCAGCAGTGTTTCAATTCTCCTGTCTTTCAGCAGGCAAGGCTGTGTTGTCTTCATACTGCAGCTTGTTAACAAGCCTTCCACCAATCCTGAGGCCTCATTCTTCCCCGTATAATTCAGCTTCTCTGGTGATTTGCTCAGCATGCCAATTGAATAAGTCTGGTGAATGGATACAACCCTGATGCACATTTTTCCTGATTTTAAAACATGTACTATTCTGTTCTGTTTGCACAACTGCCTCTTGATCCATGTACAAGTTCTGGTGAGTGGATACAACCCTGATGCACATTTTTCCTGATTTTAAAACATGTACTATTCTGTTCTGTTTGCACAACTGCCTCTTGATCCATGTACAAGTTCTGCATAAGCACAAATAAATTGTTCTGGAATTCCCATTCTTCTCAAGGCTATCCATAGTTTGTTATAATCCATACAATTGAATACTTTGATATAGTCAATTAAATACATGTAAACATCTTTCTGGTATTATCTGCTTTGATCTAACATCCATCTGACATTAGCAATGATATCTCTTGTTCCATGACCTCTTCTGAATCCAGCCTGAACCTCTGGCAGTTCCCTGTTAATATACTGCTACAATTATTATTGGAAGATCTTTACCAAAAATGTACTTGTATGTGATATTAATGATATTGCTCCATAATTTGAGCATTCTGTTAGCCGCCTTTTTTTTTTGGAATGGGTACAAAATGGATCTCTTTCAATTGGCCTAGTAGCTGGCTTCCAAATTAACTGGCATAGAAGGGTGTGTAGTATTAAATTAAAATGGCACTGGGGAGTGGGGGGGTGGGGTGCCAGCCCCACCCGCTACTAGTACTCACTGGTTCAGTAATACTACTTCTGGGTTCAGTAATGCACAATTGTACGGTTGAGATATATAAGTATTATATTAAAGTCATCGAGAGCATGAGAGATATTACAATAATGCAGTCAGACACATTACATGGTAGCATTGCTCACTTCAGCCCAGCTTGGTGGTCCACGTGGAGAGAGGGGGAAGGGAAGGAGAGCAAGGGAACAAGGGAAAGGGGGAAGAGAGGCGAGTGACCAGGGAGTGAGCAGCAAGGAGGAACCAGGGGGGAGTCAGAGAAGTCAGAGAGGTTTGAGAGCTCTATCTTGCTGACTTGTGCCTTTTGGGGGCATGCCAGCCCACTAATTACAGGTAGACATACGTCACAGGAAGGGGTTACACTATAGGTTACACAGCAATGAGGGGGTGGTCTCTGGGTCTCCATAGGAACCATTATCAGTAGGGTGAAAACTCCGCCTACAGCAGCCTGTCCATTGTCCCCAGAGGCAGGGAGCAGGCCCACCCCTGTGGAGGGATGAGACAACAGTCTGGCAACTGATTACCCTCAGTGGGGGGATGCCTGTGCATCTGACCTCCCCTCACAAGGAGGAGTGCTTCTAGTACTTCATCAGCTTGTTGTAAAATATTCCAATTGGTATTCCATTAATTCCTGGTGCCTATATTTGGCTAGTGCTTTCAGTGAAGAGTAACTATTGATAGGATGGAAAATTGAAAGTTACTTCCTTGTTACAAATACCTTTTTCCAACATGGAGTTCTCCAGATGGAATAGAGTGAAATCAAATTGACTACATCAGGGAGATGACACAACAGAGAAGCTCAATATCGGCAGCTAGAACCACGTCAAGGGCTGTGAGAAAAAAAATCAGTTGTTTATATGTAAGTTCAGGTTGAAGCTGAAGAAAATGAAAAGAAGTCCACGTGAGCCAGAAGATGACATTGAGTCTATGCCACCTGTATTTGGAGAATATCTCAAGAACATATTTGCTGTGTTGAACACTAATGACAGAAGACCCGATGAGCTGTAGGACATCATTCATGTTCTTGATGCAAGTGAGGAAGGAAGCAAAAGGTCATTAAAAAGACAGGAAAGAAAGAAAAGATCAAAGTGGATGTCAAAAGAGATACAGTCACTTGCTCCTAATCATAGAGTAGCTAAGACACATGGAAGAAATGATGAAGTGAAAGAGCTAAACAGAAAAATTTCAAGGGTAGCTCAATCAGATAAAGTCAAGTATTATAAGAAATGAGCATAGCCCTAGTTAGAAAACCAAAAATAAAGAACACACTCAGCATATCTTAAATAGAAGGAACTCACACACACACACACACACACACACACACACACACACACACACACACCAAATCTCAAGTTGCAACATTGTAAGATTCTATGGGAAAATTATTGAAGGTTGCAGGAAGTTTCAAAAGTAGATGAAAAGAATACACAGAATGAATCACTGTCCCATAGAGAACTCATCAACATTGAACGCTTTTGAGAGGTAGTGTATGAGAAAGAACCAATGGTACAGAAGGAAGAAGTCCAAGGTGCCCCAAGGCATAGCCAAGAACAAGGCTCCAGGAATTCAGATGTTAGTATTCATATAATCTAAGAAATGTTACTTTTAAAGAATTTAAAACTATATTTGCCATATTATACATACATGCATGTATACAATTATACATACATATTATGTATGTATACACACATAAACATACTATGATTATAGTTGATGGTAAAAGTTATTAAGAATTTTTTATGATCTGTATTTAAGGAGTGGGGTGTGTGTGTGTGTGTGTGTGTGTGATGACACCATCAGATACTGCACTGGGTCCTATCAATCCAATCAAACTGCATAGTTACCTGTTTCCCTGCCTCCTGGGACCTGGACCTTACTTGATCGTTTCCTTCCTGACCCTTACTGGAATTCATCTACCTGTGGGCAGGGACTTGGGCACGGATAGGACTTGGAAAGAGGTGGTGGTTAGAGCTGAGTTTTACCTGCTCTTTGGTGTACTGCAACAAGGCATGGCAGTGAGCATTACCTTTACAGGTCCACAGTGCCCATGCACAGGTAGGCAATTTATTGGGAATACAATGTCCACTCTGAACCTAGCTTCCTAGCTCATCCAAGGTAGTAACATTTTTGAGAGTCACCCAGTCACTGTGAATTAGGGCTGATTTCTCATGGGAAGAAGCTCTTGCTGGGCCCAGGCATGTTACTTTAGCAACTGGCAGGAAGGTGAACTTGGCAACTTTGGACAGTAAATGTGGGCCATGCACAAATACAGCGTGACGCGCATACAGGTCTGGCCATTCATCACCTCTTAGGGTCTGAATTTTCCCATTTTCCCAGGAATGTCTTTGTGTCTGACCTTGTACATGATGACATAGAACCCGAATCTGAATCCCTTGTCATCAAGTAGATTCCAACTCACAGTGCCCCTCGAGGACAGAGGAAAACTTCTCCATAAGGTTCCCAAGGCTGTCAATCTTCATGGACGAAGGCTGCCTCATCTTTCTCCCGTGGGGCTGCTGGTGAAGTAGAATTCTGACCTTGTAGTTAGGAGCCTCACGTGTAACCCACTATGCCACCAGACTCTTTGCAACATTACTTAGAAAATAAAGAATAGCTTCACAGGTGGAGGGAGGTAGAGAGAGAGATCTTGCCAGAAAGGAAAAAAGATGTATCTTTTGGTAGTTTGAAGAACATGTCTTTCCTGTTTTTTGAACAAAACATTTTCATTTTCTCACTGGACTCAGCAAATTATATAGTTTGTTCAGGCCCGGAGTGAACTTTCAGTCCTTGAAAAATAACGACTGTTTACTCCTTGAAGCACCCTTAAAGCCCCTTGCATGGCTTCCTATTCATAGAATTTACCCAGTCAAATACAATTGTTTGTGGTTTTCAGAATGAGGTGTGAACAGAGGAATTGCTATTCTTTTAGCAATCCGCTATTACTGTAGTTTTCTTCATTCCATCACTTGTTTGTCAGTTAGTCCACTTGTTATGGCTTGTGTGTTGCTGTGATGCTGAGAGCCATGTCACTGGTATTTCCAATGCCCTCACCGTGGCTCAGAGGGAATACATTTCAGTGGAGCTTTCTGACTATGAACAGACTACAAATACAGAATAGTCTGTCCACTTCAGAGGAACTAGCCACTGAAACCTCAAACACTCAAACATCAAAACACTGTCGTGCTACTGAAGATCTAAAGGAGAAATCAGCCCTTGAAAAGGACATCATGCGTGGTAAAGTGGAGCGGCAGTGAATAAATGGAAGACCTTCAACCAGATGGATGGACATGATAGCTGCAACAGTGGACGCAGACATTTGTGAGGATGGCTCAGCAGACAGTGTTTTGTTCTGTTGTATGTAGTGTCACTATGAGTCGGAACTAACTCAATGCACCTAACAACAGCACCACCCACCATGCTTTGTTTTTCTGAATTGGTCATTCATGAGTATGTCGGCAAGACATTATAAATCCTGAGTTGAAATGAGAATCCAAATGAAAAGAAGTTTAAAGTCAGGGTGTTCCTCTAAGGAAAGATCCTTCTTTGTCTCTTTCATCTTGTAGTAGCCAGAAAGCCTTAAAGTTTCTAGGTTTTTAGGTTCATGTGCATCCTTTGTAATCAGATAGATCTGCCTTGTCTCTGTGCATGCATCTCTATGTGCCTATGCTACTGTTTCTATAACTCAGAAGTGATTAGTTTTAGGATACACCCTACCCTGATATGACCTCAACTGACTGATTAGTTACATTACATTACATGACATTATAGAAAGTGGTTTCATTGCATTATATCCTATTACTTCTATGGATATAATGAAAAAGCCCATCAATGTCATAGAGTTGATTCTGACTCATAGGGACCCTATAATTTAAGCTTCACTTTACTGAGAGATGAGTAACTACATGTGATTCTGGCCGATAAACACATGTAGGATTAATTGAAGGGCAGAGAGATAAATGGCTTGGTTAGCCTTGCCTTTCTAGTTTTGGAGTCTCTTCCTTTGTGATGGTCGGACCAGGGTGCAGCTGACTTAGCTGGTTCCCTTCTTCAGCTGGCAACTTACTTCCTGGAAGACATCCCTGAGGAGAAGCTGCATGGACCTACCCCGATGCAGCCCTGGGTGCTGGAGCAGCCGTGTGGAGACCCCTGCCAGCGCTGAGATGCTTACACATTCACTGACTCAGCTTTCCTGCTGCAGTTGGTGTCACTGTGTGTGTTTTGTGAGATAGAGGAGGACTTTGTGGATTGGTGTTGGACATATGGGTTAATGTTGTGTGGGCTTGGGCAGCACTGGGTTGGGATGTTTTCTTGATATGCACTTAACCTTTATATAACCCTCTCTCTTATATATATGAGTTTCTGTGGATTTGTTTTTCTAAAGTACCCAGACTTGCACAACGCATAACATGTATTATCTGGCATCATCCTGTTAAAAGAAAAAGGTGCTCCTTCTTATTGTATTTATTTTCAATCATTTATTGATATCAGAATGGCATAAAAAAGTAAACTAATGATCTTGTCCAGATCATTCAAAAGTCATGTTTTCAATAACACAAAATTATTTGTTTGTTTTTTTTTGGGGGGAGCTTATTTATTTATTTAATTGAGCAATACTTTTAAAGAAACTTTGACTTTTAGTAATATTTTAGTAATTTGGTGAATAGGAAGTTTCACATCACATATCTTATGTTTTCTTAAAGAGGGACATTCCATATTCTATCTTACAAGGGAGAAAAAAAATAAATAAAAACACCGATCTCACTGCCGGCATGGAGTTGATTTCGATTCATAGCATTCCTGTAGGACAGGATAAAACTGTCCATGAGTCTCTGAGACACGAGCTGCTTATGGGTGTAGAAAGCTCTGTCTTTATCTCTGCTGGGTTTTTGAAACTGAGACCTTGCTGTTAACAACCCAATGCTTAACCACTTTGCCATAACAGAGCCGTATGCAATAATATGGATACTTCAGATTTCATTGTACCCACTTATTCAATTTACTGTAAATTAGGAGAACAAACTCATTAAATTAATGGGAGACTGTAATGTGTGGAGCATATTTTTTCTTTTCCACTGAGGTGGAATTGCACTGCTAAAGGCACTGCTCTGGTTTAGGATTTCTAAAAATATTTAGATTTATATACATAGTTCTGCAATTAAAACATTATAAATTAGTATATATGACATGAGACGATGTGCATTACAGTGGACAGTGGGAGTCACATTGTTTTAAAATAACAACAACCAAAATATGTTTGGGTTAAGCAACATGGCGAGTTCACACAGCTCAGAAATAGTGGAGCCGGGCATTCAAACTTCGTCTGACTCCAGTGCACCAGCTTTTAGTCAGCACCTTCAAAAGATTATGTAATTACCCTAATTTCTTGTATACGAGTAGCCGGATATATATCATTTTTTTATATACGAGTAGCCTGATACATTTTTATATATGAGTATCCTGATACATATCAGGTTTAGAAATCCAAATGACCTGACTTTGCTCTTTCTGACTCATATCTCTACACTGGGTGCTTACTTTCCTCCACTTCATCCATATTGTCCTTGGGAACTTTCCAGAAGCAGAACGAGGGACATACTGAGTGACACCCACTGAGGTCTGTGGGTTCTACTCAGCAGAGCATGACAATGTTTTTATTTGATAAGCTTTACTGATCAAGATGATCGTTTGGTATAGAAAAAATTATAAATGTGGGTGTTTGTTGCCTTTTCTCATGGACCCTGTGCTGTCGTCTCAGGACCCTCCAATCATGCGGACCTTTCTCTTTCTTTTTGCTGTTTTCTTCTTTCTGGCCCCAGGTAAAATGAACATCTTTGCAGGAAATGGTATTTGAGATGATGGCCCAGAGAGAGGGTCTGCCTTACTGAGCATCCAGGAGTGATGAGCCCTTGGCAAAGCAGGGCAACAGGCCCTGGAGACTCTGCGGGGGCACATTTGCCACAGTTAGCATCTTCGTCCTAGTAGTCCATAAATCATGTGGAGTTTCCATTATTTTCTAGGATGGGATGCTTTTGTAAATTTGACTTGTTGTGAGTTTGGATAAACAAAGAATTACCTTTTTTTCTAGCCTTATGCTCATCAGGAGAGAGAGAGAGAGAGAGAGAGAGAGAGAGAGAGAGAGAGAGTTGTAAAAGCCAGTGTAATAGCTTAAGGGCTATTAAAAAATAACTGTGGGAAGATTAAGGCAGGGAAGTGAAAGAAACTGAGATATTAAAGATGGAAGAGAAAGAAATGGAGCTTAGAACTGGCTATGTATTTAATGAACACTCCATCTGTGATCATCGTGATATTTGGTGATAAATAAAAATTAAAATGGCATTCTGTAACCACATGCTAGAAGCTATTATATGAGAAAAACTTCACTAAAAATACCTGTGTAGTTCTCTTTGAAGGACAGTCCCAATATAATGATATGCAGAGGTGTTCCTCCCCCTTTTTTTGTCCAGAAAGCCCATTTTATGGAGGTAGAAATTGAAATTGAGGCTAAACAATCTATTCAAACTCATCTGGATCTAGTGAGGAAGGAGTGAGGCAGGATTAAGCCTGACTCTGTTTTTCACAATGAAGGAGTTTAAGATGACCTGCCCTTTTCAAAACTCCCCTCACTTTCTGTTATTCCCAGGAACATCCAATTGCTTCAGTTGGCTCTTACCTCAGACTGACGTCTGAGATCAGTCTGATTCCACTTTCCAGAGATTTAAAGAAAGGGCTATCAGGAGCCATAATGAGCCCAAATTTGTGCTGGATGTAAAACCCTAAGCTCCCTGCCATTGAGTCAATTCCAGCACCTAGGACAGGGTATAAATGCTTCAGTAGGTTTCCCAGACTGTAACTCTTTTATTTATTTATAATGTTTTATGTTTTTAAAATTAATACATATAACATATCATTCCATATTTCGATCACACCAAAGAGAATTGCATGATTGCCACCACAATCAGTATCCCATGACTCTTTACGGGAGTAGAAAGCCTCATCTTTCTTTCTCAGAGTGTCTGGTTTCAAACTTCTGACTTTGCAGTTAGCAGCCCAGTGTATAATCCACTAAGACACTGATGCTAGTGAGAACCTTCACACCAGTTGTACACGTCTCTGGTCTGTGAAGCATCTGTGTGAACAGAATCTTTCCCAAAGATCTGAGATCTCAGCAGTACAGTGAACCATGCTATGCTCCTCCCACAGGCTTTGACATAAACATGTGGAAATCCACTAGAGGTATCTTTTTCAAGTTACTTGTACTTATACAACAACAAGATCATATAATAACTTAACACTACAAAGTTACCTAATGTATCTAAATGAAACTTAGTTATTCATGCACACACACCCACACCCAGACAGAAAGTTCTAGATGATTTCTGTGATGGCACATTGGAGGCTTTGCAGACATAAATGCTCTTTCCCACCCCCAGCCCCCAGATGTTGCCTGGGCCATCCCTGTGGATTGTATGTCCAATTGAATCTTACCCTAGTTAGGGTAAGTTCCAATCTAAGCTAGCCTTACAGCCTTAGGAGAGTAGAGGGTATAGACAACTACAGTGGGGAATAAAACCAACTGAGCTTTAATATTTTGGGAGTGGGGTGGATATTTATGCTTATGAATTTATATATTGGTGCTAGACATTGTTAGTGTTGATGGTAATCCATCTAATTGTAGGTTTTAGATGTATGTGAACCAGGTCATCTTTGTTAATTGACATTAAGTGAGATTTATGTACATTTGCCAATTATGTTACATATCTTCAGATGAGGCAGCACTATCATGTCGATTCTGATCAGGTGTGTTGTCTGATCGTCACTTAATGCAGCGGTTCTTAACATTGCTTCTGATGTAGTCATACAGCCAGACCAAAACGACATGAAAGAAATCTTGGGGTACTATTTACAACTTTCTCCCTTTTCCTGCTTCAAGTCACATGCTGAGCACAACTGTCATTTTTGGTGGAATGTAGAGGAGAAATCAGACTAAACATTCTAAATATTTTTAAATTCCCTACCTGTGATAGTAAGGAATGCTGGTGGCACTGTGGGTGAAGGCTCTGGTTGCTAACGGAAAGATCAGTGGTTCAAACACTCAATTTTCTCCAAGGGAGGAGGAAGAGTCTCAAGCCCTCTGCAGCAGATCTACACCATCCTAGAGACTCGTCATGTGGGAATTGACTTGATATGGGATAGGTTAGGGTTAGTGGTCAATTTGTTTTCTTTCCATAGAAAGCATGATTTCTCTTCACCTCACGAAACGTCCGTGTGTGCCAGAGGACCAGCTTGAACTTGGTTCCATGGGCTTTCAAGAGATGATCGATTTTCCAAGGTGCCTTTGAGTGGGATTGAACCTCCAGCTTCTGATTAGCCACCAAACGTGTTATCCATTTTTGGCTTACACGCGCTTCTTTCTATAGACTTATCTTTTTTTCACTCCAGGCTTGGTTTATCTCCTCAATCTCAAGTCTTGTAGCACATCACCTTCCATGTAGCAATCCTGGAGTATGTGGGGGAGGTGTTTATAGAAACGAGTTGACAATGACCCCAATAGATTTTGATAAAAGAATAATAGCTTCTGTCTCCCCACACCCCCACACAGTCCAACTCAAAATGTTAGGAAATAAATCTGTTCTTGCTAGTCAATCACTCTGTGATTAAAAGAAATATCAGATAGAGATATTTTTCTTAACAGCTCATTTACTAGTTAGAAAAGACAAGGCACTGTGTAAGCTTGTAAATAAGCCTTCAACTAGTTATATGATTGTACCTGGTAATCAGACAATTCTGAGATGAAAATAATCTAGGCGGTTCCTTCTTTTGTGTAGCTGAGAATGGATTCATTAATGAAAAATGCTACTACTTAAAAGGAAAATGTCAATCTTCTTGTGCTAAAAATGAAGAACTTGTTGCGCTCTGCTGGAAGAATGAGAAATGCTGTGTGAAAGTCCAACCGTGTAAGAGGACAGAAGCAGACGACTGAAGACATATCTCCTCAAAGCTATAAGAATGGCCTAGCCCTTCCTCTTCTTTACTCAGACCTCTGGTCTCTACTTTAAGTAGATACCTCAATAAAAAAAATGGTTGTTTATCAGCTTGTCAAGTGCTTCATTTAGAAGGTGGCTATGACCAGCTGACATTGAGAGTTCCCTCTCTTGGTCCAATTTTCCTTGATTCTGAGCTACCATAATTCTTAAAAAGTCATATGCTATTTCTCTAATGGGGAAGCTAGAAAAGACTGTGAATCAGTCAAAGTGGCCTGTGCTCAGACAGTCCACCTCAGCACCCTGTTGAGATAGAAAGATAACTAGCTAGTGGGCTAATAAACCAAGGAGCAATTCCGTTAGGTAAGCTTCTCTATAGTCCATCCATCAAGATCTCTAGTGCATCACAAAGCTGTCTGAATTTATTATCTTGACTTCATACTCTAATTGGGGCCAGTTAATCATGTCTCTCATATTTTCCCCGTATTCTCAAGTCTAGGATCTAATTTGTTGATCAGTAGAGGTGTTATAAACATCCCTGTGATGGTCAGTAGCACCAGCTACTTGGCTCTAGATCTTATACTGATTACCTAGACCCTTCAGACCTAAGGAATTGGCCAGTTGTTGTTGTTAGGTGCCCTTGAGTCAGTTCAGATTCACAGCAGCTCTATTTACAACAGAACAAAACCCTGCCCAGCTCTGGGGCGTCCTCACACCCCATCCGTGCAGCCACTGTGTGAATCCATCGTGTCCAGGGTCTTTTCTCTTTTTCCCTGCCATTCTACTTGTAGAAGGTAGGATGCAGATTATTGGCATTGTGAACTATTTATACCCGTGGACTATGATGTCCGCTGAGGCTATGGTTCTGATTGGCCAGTAACTTTGGTCATGAGTGCAGTTGCAAGTCAAAGCAGGTAGACTGTTCACATCTTTCTTCAAGAGACTATCTGCGACTGAGAATGCAGTTACCTGACAGCAAGTACCTAGTGCACCTTTGCATCTTCCACAGCATGTCCTTTCCACTGGAGAGTGATAGGCATCAGGACTGACTGGATGACAGTTTTGAATGATCCCAAGACACAAAGCTAATGGAAACAGAAAACTCAAGTCAAAGATCCCTCTAGAAAGAAACCAGTGCCGTGGAATTAACTCTGACTCACAGTGACACCCGTGGGTTTCAGAGACGAATTGTGCTCCGGGGAGTTTTCATGACCGTGGCCTTTGACAAACAGATTGCGAGTCTTTTCCTTGGCCGGACCTTGGGATGGGTTTGCATGGCCAATCACTCATTGGTGCTTAATAGTTTGTGACATTCGAAGGATGTTAATGCCAAGCTCTAGAAGGAAGGGGATAGTCATGCTGGGGTCATCATTGCATATCTGGGGGTGTTCAGGTCTGTGCCAGGAAAACGCTTAGGGAAAGCAGGATGTGGGCACAAGTGGAAAGGAGTAGGTATGTGTGGCCTATAATCAATGGTCTGCTCTTCATCTCTTGCTGTTCTTTTGGAAACTTTGGCACTCACCCACATTCAGCTCCACAAACTGGTGCCCATCAGGTCTGGAAATGGGTGTGCATAGTGTGTCTGGATAGGTGTAGTGCCATTTGTTTTACCCTGGAATTTATTGATTGCGTAGGCTGCATTTTTCAGTGTGCAAAACGAATCCCCAACCTATCTTCTCCATTTTGCATTCACTTTGTTCAGATTGTACTACACACAAAGTGGGGCTTGGTCCTAGATTTATCGTGAAGGAGCCAAGGAAGCCCAGTCGTTATGCACTAACTGTTAATTGAAATCTCACCGGTTCAAACTCACTAACTGCTCCGTGGGAGAAAGACTTGGCAGTCTATTTCTATTAGGATCACAGGCTTCAAATCTTTTGAGAGCAATTCCACTCTGTTCCTCAGGGTCATTATGAGTTAGAATGGATTCAACAAAGAAAGTCTTAGATTATTTTTGTTTGGGCTCATTTGGGTTCAGTTTTGCCACTAAGCTGTTGTGTGATTTTAAGCTAATAATTATCCTTTGCTTATTTTCCTTAATTTCCCAAGTCTAAAACAAGATGGCTGGACTAGTTGACCCTCCAAGCTCCGCTTCAAATGGTCATACTAGCATTTTGATATCCAGAGTCTTTTCTTAGTTAATTGTGCTTCTAGCCTAATTTCTAAATTTCCTTCTCCATGAGCTCCCACACGTGCCTTCTTTTCCTTCTCTGGCTCCAAGCTGCCCAGCGGCTGTCTGCACACATGCCAGAAGTCCCACCCAAGGTATGCACAAGATAGCCACACAACCATCGTACACAATGCTTGTGCTTGCTTCACTTCTTTCTCTTTTATCTTCTGTTTAGACCACCCGGGCTTGCTTTCAAGCGGAGGTTGCAGCTAAAGCAGACTTTTCCGCCAATCACTGCTGAACACATTACTCTGTCACACAGCATTTTTCATCCTCACCTGCGCCCTGGACAAGGAGCACTCACATACAGGTGTTAGAGACAACAAAAACCTTGGTGTAGGATAAACTAGTGTGAGTTAGCACTCAACTTCTGCTTTGTTGAAAATACAGAGGTGGGGAAGAAAGAGAAGGGTCTTAGGGTTCACATGAAATGAGGATACTTGAGCCTTGGACCTCAGCAAAGAAGGCCATAGACAGCCACAATTATTATCAATCATTACCCAATGTTCTCCCATTACCTTCCCCCAAATCTAATTCCCTGACAAATGCAGAGAGATATCCCTCCATAGAACAACCACAAGGAGAATTCCCTGCAGAGGGATGCTATTTTGTTTGACTTACCGTGTAGTTTCCACTTCTACCATCAACCTTATTTCTGAGTCTGCTGGAATTTCTGTAACATGCTACCAGTTTAGCTCATAAGACAGCTGGTGGTTTACAGGACTGCTTTTGACCTCGGATAGTATATCCTGAGACTTTGAGAGAAAAACCCCGTAACTCCCGTGATGATTGCCTACTGGTCTAGACAAGGATCGAATCATTAGCATTCTGCCAAGGCCCACACCCTTCTCTCTTTCTCTCTGGCCCACATCCTTCTCAATCAGACCAGCACTCTGTTGCCAGAGCTAGTAGTCCTTTACCTCAACCGTGTGCTGCACTATTGTGGTTGAGCCAACCAATGGATCATGCTGCCTTGCATGGTTGCATCGCTAGAGCTTGAGGTTCCATTGAGACGTACTTTGCCACACTTCTTGAGGATCCATCTAGACCCCGCTTTGCTAAGGTCCCACACTACTGGCCTCTGCTGCACCTCAACTTCTCATCTTCCTGCTGTTGCTGCCCCGCCCTGCTTATCTTGCCTAAGGGCAGACTCTACTGTCGGCTTCCTTGATGTTGGACTAGCTGCCCATGTGACTTGAAGGACCTTCAGGATATTAACTGTTCCAGGAAAGTGAGTTGAACTGAGCTCACTGTGGACATGTATGGACTAAGTAGCTGTTATATTTCTTCTTGCTACATAAACCTATCCTTTTATATACATGTACTCATAAGTGTCCTGGTTTTGTTTCTCTAGAGAACCCGGCCTAACACAATTATGAATGAATAAAATGGTACCTAGAGGAAAATAGTTTGGGGATGTATCTCCAGGTAAGGCAGAAATGAGGAGGAGAATTTCTCTGACACCTTGGCATGTAGGTTGAGAGCTGAAGGTTCAAAGAAGCCATTCAAGGGAAGTGGAGACAGTGTGTCACCGCGGGGTGGGGTTGGGATGTCAGAGTGAATGACACCAAAATGACCCCACGGTTCACTGCTTCTTTGGAGTGGCAAGGCTAGTGGGCTAAACTGTTGCCGGGATTTTAAGAAAGAACATGACACGGATCAATGTGTCGTCTTCTTTAAAAATCACGTTGAAGGGGGGTTAGATGGTCAAGCCAATCAAGTGGGAGAGTGGATAAGGGTTGTGAGTGTGAGGAAACCCAGTCATATATATCAACCACCTTGACTCCTTAGCATCCCTTTAATAATTTCAGTCATTTCCTTGAAAAACAAAACAAAGCCAAAATCTGCAGAGAAAGTCTTGCCTTCTGGGCCGCGGGCACAATTATTTACACCGACTGTTTCCGTTCTCTAGTGAGAAGCCTCAGTAAGGACAACGTGGTTTGTGGTTATGGAACAGCTCTTTGCCGGAGGACGTGTGAAAAGAATGAAAACATCATTGGAAAATGCTTCAATGCCTCTGCATGTTGTTTGAAAAAGTGGGGTGTGCATCCGCTGAATAAAAGTCTTTGCAAAGCCAACTGCAGAGTGACCACCCCAAGCCCACCAGCTGCTCAGTAGGAGAAAGTGGAATCCATCTTCATCCATAAAGGTTTCCAGTCTCTCCAAAGGCTTACCACTTCAAAGTTAGCAAGAGGAAGATGAGATGGACGACTCTCGTTGAGCCTCACAATCTCTGAACCGATAGGAGTTTTGCTCTGGCCCATAGGGTTACTGTGAGTTGCTGGCACTGGGTTTGGTTTTGGACCCTAGAGCAGCGGGGAGCAGGAAGTTTGTGCATCTCTTTGGGAGGATGTTGCACTTAGAGCATCCCCAAATGCAACCATGCATTCAATTTATGAACAAAGCTTTTTCTGAGAAGTGCAAAACCATCGTCAGCAATCACAACAGAACTGTTCTAAGTAAGCCCTAACTACCACACTCACTTGATCGGGGAGGACAAGGCAGGCTGAAGCGCCGATTTCCACACTGCAGAACCTGGGCTGGAAGCCTCTGACCCTCCATCAGCATAAGTGAAACATCAAAAAATGTTTTTTGTTCGAACGGAATTAATATAGCTTGACAGCATTGTTTTCACTTTCTGATTAAAAGGTCTACTCCGTAGTTATATAGGTAGGTCATTGTTGTGAATTAGAAATGGAAAAAAACAAAACCCAAAGCCAATATTAAGTAATTTGTTAAGTAATTATATGTAAAAACCTAGAGCTCAGGCGAGAAAAATAAAAGAGATGATATGTGAGAAAAAGGTTGGCAAATGTGATTAAATCTGGT